CCCCGCGGGCGAAGCTTCTTGTACAACCGCAAGGTATATCCCAACACATTGGCACACTCACTTCTTGTCCACTGCTCGTTACACAAACCGACCTCGCATTCGGATAATTGCACTCACCATTATCGCTACGTACTATCAATAAATTACGGGCGAATTTGTCATACTGGGCTCTGACGATTCTTTCTCGATCGGTTGGATTCGTTTCAACAATTTTTCTTTTTGTTTCAATTTGTCAAAGAATTGATTTATTTATGGAATTGTTTTGGGTGGATATGATTTTTTTGTTTCAAATGAGGTTTCTGGTCGGAGGGAATGAACATATTCTAGTGAAAAATCTTTGAATTTTTGATGACATGGAAGTTTCATTAAATTGCGATTTTTATGGGAGAAAGTTAGTTTCCATTTTTAGTTTATCGAAAATTAAATTTATTGTGATATTTCATTTTTACGGTGAATCCGGGATTTCAGGCGATCATTGAAACTCAATTTTGTGAAATTTTGACGATGAATGAGAAATTTCATGAATGATTCAAGTCCCATTTGACAACCGACCTCGCATTCGAATGATTGCACTTGCCATTATCACTACGTACTATCAATAAATTACGGGCGAATTTGTCATACTGGGCTCTGACGATTCTTTCTCGATTGGTTGGATTCGTTTCAACAATTTTTTTTTCAATTTGTGAAAGATCTGATTTATTTATAGAATTGTTTTGGGTGTATATGATTTTTTTTGTTTCAAATGAGCTTTCTGTTGGGAGGGAATGAACATATTCTAGTGAAAAATCTTTGAATTTTTGGTGACATGGAAGTTTCATTAAATTGCGATTTTTATGGGCGAAAGTTAGTTTCCATTTTTATTTTATCGAAAATTAAAGTTATTGTGATATTTCATTATTACAGTGAATCCGGCATTTCAGGCGATCATTAAAACTCAATTTTGTGGAATTTTGACGATGAATGAGAAATTTCATGAATGATTCAAGTCCCATTTGACAACCCGACCTCGTATTCGAATGATTGCACTCACCATTATCGCTACGGACTATCAATAAATTACGGGCGAATTTGTCATACTGGATTCTGCCGATTCTTTCTCGACCGGTTGGATTCGTTTCAACAATTTTTCTTTTTTTCAATTTGTGAAGAAATTGAATTATTTCGATGGGATTGTTTTGGGTGGATATCATTGTGTTGTTTGAAATACATTTTCAAATTTGTTGGGAGGGAATAAACTATTTAATTGATTCAGATGAGGAGTTATTAGACAGTGGTGGAAGAGTCCAGTGAAAAATGTTTGAATTTTTAGTGAGATGGAAGTTTCACGAAATTGCGATTTTTAGATCTATATAATAATGAAAAGTATGGAAGAAAATTATTTTTTCATTTTCAATCTACGGAAAATTTAACTTATTGTAATATTCAATTTTCACAGTAAATTTCAAAATTCAGACTCAATTGTGTGGAATTTTCAACATTTTTTTTTTCAATTTGTAAAGGAATTGATTTATTTCCATGGGATTGTGTTGAGTGTCCATGATTTTTTTGTTTGAAATGAATTTTCTGTTGAGAGGGAATGAACTATTTATTGGATTCAAATGAGAAGCAATTAGACAGTTGTAGAATATCCTAGTGAAACATCTTTAGAAATTTATGGAAAGTGAAATTAATTGTCATGTCCAATATTCACAATGAGTTTGTGAATTTAGGCTGTTATCGAAACTCAAATTTGTTGAATTTTCAAAATAAATAAGGAACTTCATAAGCGATTTCGTCTGAAATTTAATTCGCATTCACAACCATAAAAATTCAAATGCTGTTACTTGATCTTAAAAAAATCAACACTTTATGCTAACAGATTCCATTCCATTTCCATCTAAAAAAATATTGCACCTGAATAAATACGCAAATAACACTCAAGGTCAGGTTTGTGTAATAAACCCATTTATTTTATTGAAATGACGTTTATTTTATTCAAAGAAACTATTTCTCTGGGTGCACAGTGTCGAACTGTTGCGCAATTATTCCCTGTTTTTATTTCTGTTTTTACTGCAGTTGCCAGTAAGGTAGTAAAATTATTAGTGTTTCTCGGTGCAAAGAGGCATTGGTAATACGAACGACTTGATAAGAATTTCGAATAGTCGAGTTTTGTAGAAAGTATTGAGCACATAGGGTTATTACATTTCATTCGATTTCTGGGCAAATATACACACACTGTTATAAATTTTTATTTGAAATTTCCGGTACACTTTTTAGAAATTTTTACCGAGTTTAATTACCACTGAAATGTCAAGGAATTTCGTCATTAAAAATTCGGAATTTTATGGAAAAATCAAAGAGAACTGTAAATTTCAGTTCTATTATTCACTGAGAATAAATACAAAACTAGAAAATTCCCGTAAATATTTTCTGGAATTTTCTGGGCAGCGACACTGAATACGATTTAAGACAAAACAATTGAATTTCAGATTTGACAGAAAATTCAATGTCATTTGGCACTGAGTATTCATATTAGATTGGAAATTCAAATACATTGAGGAATTCTTGTCTATAAGCTGCTTAAAATTCTGACATTTTACTCAATTTTCAGTGAAACCTGAAATGTCATGATTTTTTTTCCCTAAGTCGCATTCAGGTTCACTGTCCTGAAAATTAGTAGTCAACTGTCCATGAAATTTCATTTTTTTTCAAGCAGTGTAATAGATTTAGATGAAACTGCCATTTTTACAGTGAAATAATTTATTGAGGAATAACGAGCTTCCTAATGTATTTGAAGAATCATTAGGAAAAACTCATCTTCTGTCCCGTTATATCTGAATAATTTTAGACGTTTAGCACCATTTTTTATGAAGCTACTAATTCTTTTTATGTATTCCCCATAGGACATGACATTTGTCTTCCATTTTTCTCCTAAACGCGCTTATTTCCGAGGATTTCAAAACTTTGACTGATTTTTTTAGGGATCGAGGTGAGATTTTTTTTCTGTAGGGAAAAGGCTAGAGGGATGATATTTGTTTTGGTGGTTCACTATTCTGAGTTAGTGTTCTGGATCTAATTGCAAAGTAAATTTTACCCGAGCGGTTATTGAATGAATGGAATTTCAATTTTCTACTTTTTGCACTGGTGCCGGATTTGTCAACACTCGGGGATAATTCGAAAAGTAAATTCCGTTGATTTTGTATCATGTAGGAAGTAGTCTCTGAGGGTGTTCTTTGAGCGTCGAAATTTTTTCAAAATTTATGATTTACTATTAGAGCTTAAATTCAAATCCTATTTGACTTTGGCGTACCAAAAATCCCGCAATGACTTTATTTTCGGAATTTTGAAGGTCTATCCCTGCTCCCACGTCTATTGCAATGGATCCGGTGGACGTTGTTTTCAAACGGAGGTGTCTGCAAAAAAGATATCTTTGATCGATCCGGCCATTTTTTTTATGTCTGAAAAGTGTCTACGAAATGAGCTCCAGTGTTTGAAATTAGTATATTTGGAGGTTTTTTATAGAAGCTTTTTTTTTTCAAAAAATTAAAAAAAAAAGTACAATAGTAATTATGAGTTCATTTTCTGAAATGCGACTCCTACATAGCTAATTTCTTTTTTTTTTCATTTGAAAAATTGCGCTATTCGCGTAAAATAGTTGGAAGAATGATCCTCAAAATATTGGAAAAAATATCCCATACATCCAAAACGTGTAAAACCCCACCCAACTCAAAAATTTCTCTTGGTCTATTTTTTCCGCGATTCATTCTCCATTCTTTCAGAAACCATTTCTTCGCTTTTTTACCTAAATGGTACAATTTTTTATATTAAAAAAACAACAGTAGCTGTGCAGGAGTCGAATTAAAAAAAAACAGCTCATAATTGGTATTGCACACATTTCTTCAAAAATTGAAGAAAAAAACTTTGTAGCTTAAAAATTGCAGACCCTGGACTATTTTAAATATTTTAAGTATTTACGGGGCAAAACAACAATAAATAATTCATTTAGTTGCACTAATTATTCGTTTTTAGACATATATAATCGATCTTCAATGTAATTCATAGTAGTCTTCCCTCAAAGGACATTCCACAATGAACGTTTATCTCAGGATTAACGCGACACTTGCAATTGTTTGAATCAATCATTCAACAGTTTTTAAATTATTTCGACAATTGCAACCGTGCGTCGTTTCCCTTGCGTTCATTGTGGAATCTCCTTTACGCACGTCGTGCGGAAAACGTACACTTTACACTCCTTAAATTTCCCCGAATAGTGAACAGTTCAGGCAGATTTTGAAAAAAGTGTCTACCAAAGCGTCTGAAATTTAAACAT